CTGTTATGGCAATACTCACATGCATGCGGTATGCTAAAGCATAAATGCTTACCAAGTACTCCAAGCCAAAACAAGAACATGTTAGCAATCATGCATGATCCAAGTCCACGTTTAAATGCCTAATGCAACGCATACGAAATGTCACTAGAGTAGGCTCGGCTAGTCTATAAATGACATGTGAAAATGCACAAGTAGCATGTATTCAAGTTAGATTTGAAATACTTATGCAGTTAGTATGATGCGCCGAGCCTGGTGCATGCAATACTTGATGAATGATGCATGCATGCATAGCATGAGGTATGCTAAAGTAAACATGTCCTAATACTAACCATCAAAAGCAGGTAAGTAAAAGGGAGAAAGAAGTGGGGGTCGGAAGACATACACACACGCACCCACGCTTATTACAGATTCGCCCTCGCTCGGAGGGACCGAAAGAATAATACAAGTTAATTAACCTACAAGCTAATTAAATATTACAGACCGATTAATTAATTAACAAATTAACTAATCTAATGAAAGCAGTAAACGGCCTCGGGAAGAGGGCCCAATGCAATGCGCGCTCGGCTCCGCTTGGAAAGTCACTGCCATGCACAAGTTTGCCTCTGCTTTGACTATTCTGCTTCTCCGAAAATTGCACAACTCCCAAGGTTGCTTCTCTGAGTGTTGTGGGACACTACCGGCTGAGTGAGATCATCACCGGGCATTTAGAATGGTCATCGGCTAAACATTATGCTCTCGGCCAAACCTGTTTTGCTGGTCGGCACCCAACACTGCCGACCGGCCAATTCTTCCTACTGAAACCTGTTTGACAGCAGCAGAGGGCAGGCAAGGCATGGCAATGTATTTCAAGCAAATGTATGTACCAACCACACTCCTTATCATGTTTATGACTCAAAGGAGGATGGGCCTCAATTCTCGGGCCACCAATCACGCATTCCCATGCATGATGGCCCAAAAGCCAAGTGTGCAACTTCAATATCAAATAAAATGCACACTCAAAACACATCAAAGGCCCCAACCTCTATCATGCTTAATCAAGAGGCAAGGGATGCATGCACAATGCAATGCAACCTAAGCATGCAAGCAAGGCTAATGCAACATGATTATGCAATGCATTTAATATGCAATAGGCACACAACCTAAACATGTAAACAAATATGGCATGCAACAACATGTGATGATGGACTTAAACTAACATGGATAACTCGCAAGCATGCCAAAATCAGTGGCCAAATGGCATGGAAATGAGGGCCAAAACACATACAAGCATGCATGCACACAAGGTCTAACACTTAGGCATTAAAGAGCATCTTTTAAGCACACTTAAAAGAGGATAATCATGGACAAATGGCATGCACATCAAACTCTGAAAATCATGTTAAGATGATACCAAATCCACCTACCAAATGCAAGCAAGGCATGTAACCAAACCCAAGGACTTAAACTATGGTCATGTGACACATGAAGCAAATGACCAAAGTGAGCTGAAACAGTCCTAAGTCATGCAAAAACAAGCCCCAAAAACCACTTAGATGGCATCTAAATAACCTAATTCTCAAGGCATGCAAAAGGGACCAAACATGGAGCATAAGACACCAACCTCTTAAAGCATTAAAGGAGCATCAAATGCAAGCATACAATCATGCTATAAGGATTGAAATGGCATGATAAGTGGTTCCAAACCACTGAAACAAAGCAAGTAAAGCATGCTAAGGGGGTCAACACTTAAGGCCTACAAGGGAGATTGCATGGTAGCTATACAAAGAAAAGCATGGATGACCCAAATGACCAAAAATAGTCCTCAAACACACTAAAACATGCATAAAAGCTTCACAAAGCTAAGCCAAAATAAGTAAGCATAGTGGTCTAAATGCTAGATACATGTTAAGGCAATTTCATGGCATTACAAGACAAGTATGCAAAGCAAGCATGGTGTGTCTAAATCAAGTAAAAAGAGTGCTATACCATGACATAATAAGCATAAATATCAGTCAAGGCATGGCCAACATGAACCTAAACATGATGCTCACTAAAGAGGCAAAAATGGCACTTTTCAAGGACAACAAGGAGAGGGGGTGGCCCCCTCCTTCCTAGGACCTCAAGGGACCATCCTCACCTCTGAAATCCCTCAAGATTTCAGTGGTGAGGAGGCCCAAACACAATGGTCCCGGAGCTCAACCGAAATGGCACAAAACAAAGGCCAAACAAGCCTTAAGAGGGTTCAAACAACCCCAAAGCTTAAAACACCCTTAACAAACTATTTAGAGCACTCAAAAACAAGACTTTTCTATGTTATATGCTAAGCTCAAAAATAGATGCAAGATAGGCTAAAAAGCTTTGCAAAAAAGGGGTAAAAAAAGGACAAAAGTCTTACCCTTGTAGCACAACAGCAAATCAGCAACTTTTGGACCAAGAAAAGGCTTCAAATCACCCAAAAATCACCTTCAAGGACCTCATCTCAATAAAGGGAGCAGAGAAATAGGTGTTTGTATGCAAAAGTGCAAAGAAAATGCACTTTTGAGTACAAACAAGCCCTAACCCTTAGAGAGAGAGGCAGAAAAATGTAGAGAGAGAGGGAGATTTTTTTCTCCTTAGGTTATATCTCTCCTCCTCTTCCTCTTGTATCTCTCTTCTTCCTCTTGTATCTCTCCTCTTTTGAGAGAGCTTGATTGATATAGATATATCAATTTGCAGCCCCCTCAGAAGTCCCACGTCCAGGCATGGGCTGGGGTATGGCCTGGAATGACAGCTATCAGCTGTCTACAGAAATATCTGTTGAAAATCACATTTGGCCGGCCGGCCATCAAAGTGGTTGACCGGCAGTCAAATTGGCCGGCCGGCCATCACATTTGGCCAATGGCAACAAGACACAGCCGGTGGCCTCAAGCCACGGCCGGTGGAGTGTAGGGATGTCCCAAAAGCCATTCCCTGCCCTCCAAAGCAAAAAAAACAAGTGTTTGGTGCAAAACCAAACACAAAACGGTCGAGTCGAGAGATTCTGAGGCAAGGCGCGTAGCCGAGGCCTCTGGGAACTCAAGACGAACACAAACATGGATGATCACCGAGTGTTCAAGCAGTGACGTCCAAGTCTTGAGGACGGTCAAAAATGGGGTGTCTACAATAACACATGTAGCTGAGGTATAATGCATGTAGCTTCCCCCCCCCCCTCTTTTTTGATCAAGTTAAGTTCTGCATCAAGGGTTGAGATGCTGTTGTTCCTCTATTGTGTATAATCTGATTTGTCCTTCTGTTGGGTGTGGTTTCTGCTGGTGTGGCTGCTACTGCAGCAGTTGCTTTGTGTAGCTACTGCTGCTTTGTTCCTTCATGTTGTTATGTTGTTTGTTGTGTGGCTATCTCATGCCCCTTCTTGAAGTACTCAGTGTGTGACATTATTTATAAGCTACAAAAAATAAAACTCTGCATATAGGGTGTGGCTGCTGCTGTTGAGTGTGGCTGCTGTTGGTTTGTATATTGGGTGTGGCCTATTTGTTGTGTGGCTACAACCTAGCAGAGCCTAGAAAACAGAGCCAGAAAAAAAAAAGCAGCAGCAAGCTGAAACCACCAAGATCAGCAACATTGCACCAACAGCAGTCCAGATACAGCCACACACTTGCAACAACATTGCAGCAACAGAGGCCAGCAAGCAGCAGCCACCAGGGACAACGACACTGCTCCAACAGCAACATAGCTTCAACTAGTAAACCAGCAAACACCAGCTGGCAGCTAGCAGCAGAAGCACATTGTGCTTTTTTCCTCTTTTTATTCTTTATTCTTTATTCTTTCTTCTTTCATGCCATGCCATTGCTTTAATTGATATTTATTTTTGCTTCAATCCAAGTTTCCAATCTATGCACATGACACTAAACCGACGAAATTAGAAACATTCTTTTGGCGCTTAGGTTGGGAATACTTGATTCAATTGTTATCTAGAAGTAAAAGTACAATAATTTATTTAGGTGCGTAGGCGAATTGTTTATTTTGCCCATATCCATGACTATCCTTATATGTTATTTGACATTCATTTCATACCCATATCTCTCCATTAATTTCATGTATAGTGCGATTTTAATTTAAAATTTGATTTACAATTATCAATTATTATAGGTTATCAGTTAATGCAGAAAGATAAAAAAGCTGCACTCGTTCGTTGGGGGCAATTACTACATCAAGTAATCTTTGACTATTTGTTAAGGCATTTTTAATTTATTTAGAGAAGTTTGACACTTTTTTTATTAAATTTGTGGCTATTAGAGGATTCACTTAATTGTATTCTTAGGATTCACTTATTGTATTCTTAGTTTCGTTTTGCTATTGTGAGCATTCATGATATAACAAACAATTAGATGATCCAAGGAACTATTTGATATGTAAATAAGATAATTCCAAATATGCTAATTAGGGGGTGGTTATTGTGTTTTGCTACAAAAATCTCAATTCCATGTCTAACTCAACAACTAAATAAGTCAAATTGCTAAAATAAATGAATATGCTTTTACAAAAATAACTAAACTGATATGTAACAATTTGAAGACCATAATTTATATAGCAATTATAATTTATATATCTATGTCATCACTTACTATATAATTCTTTTTCACTCTTTACTCTACATTGCATGCTTTACTTGAATAGTAATTCTTGTTTATCAATTATTATTGTTAGTACAACTTGTCAATGAATTACATATACCTAATTTAGTTAAAGGTATATATCAATGTCATCACTTACTATATGATTCTTTTTCACCCTTTACTCTACATTGCATTCCCGTTTATTTATTTTTTCTTTTTTTTAAAATTTTTTTTTAACAAAGCAACTACCTACACAATAAGCCTTTTGCTGTCACAACAGGGGGCTGTGACAGCACCCACCCCAATCCCATTTTAGTGTATGTTATCATTGTGCATTCATAAATGAGATAGGACCACTTACCTATTGAATATTAGTGTACATAATAATAAAGGAATTTCACATAACATTGGCTTGGTAGGTGACCAAATATGGACAAGAGTTGGATGTTACTTAAGAATAGAATGAGTTCCCAGTATCGAGATGGGGTAAAGGCTTTTGTTCAGTTCGCAATGTCAAATGTAGGGCCAAATGGTAAGATTCGTTGCCCTTGTATGGACTGTTTGAATTGTGAACAACACACTAGCAAAATTGTGGAGTATCGTTTGGTCGTGAAAGGAATGTCCCCTTCTTATAAGACTTGGGTGCATCACGGGGAATGTATTCCCATGAATGAATCTCATGCATTGAATGATGATGACCACAATGACTTTGGAAGTGTTGGGGATAGAATGGAAGAAGATACAAACGGATATCAAGATGAATTTCTAAATTTGTTAGAAGATGTTTACATGGGGACTATCATGAATGATAATGAAAATGCGGGGGATGAAGAGGACGATGACGATGATGTGGCTAATAATGTTGAAGAAGAGGGTGTGCGCAACTTCGATATATTGTTGAATGATGCTCAAAGAGAGTTGTACCCTGGGTGTCGTAAGTTTTCTGTTTTATCATTTGTTGTTAAGATGCTTCACGTGAAGGTGTTGAATAAGTGGAGCAATAAGTCATTCAACATGTTGTTGGGGATATTAAAGGACCTTTTACCAGTAAGTGATCAAGTTATCCCATGGTCCCTTTATGAAGCCCAAAAATTCTTGCGTGACTTAGGCTTAGGATATGTGACGATTCATGCATATAAGTATGATTATGCACTTTTCTAGAAGAAGAATGCAAATTTGGAAAATTGTCCGATTTGCCAAGAGTCCAGATACAAGTTGAATGATGGAAAAGGTAAGAAAATTCCTCATAAGATCTTAAGATACTTCCCGTTGACACCGAGGTTGCAGAGATTATATATGTCAAGAAAAATAGCTGTAGATATGAGATGGCACAAAGAAAAGCGAGTAGATGATGAGATATTGAGACACCCGGCTGATGGTGAGGCGTGGAAGGATTTTGATAGGCAACATCCTATGTTTTCCTAGAGGCTCGAAATGTGAGGTTAGGGTTGGCTACTGATGGTTTTAATCCTTTTGGGAACATGAGCAACTCGTACAGTATGTGGCCTGTGATTGTTATGCCTTACAACTTGCCTCCTTGGAAATGTATGAAACAATCATTTAGTATGTTGTTATTGCTTATCCCTGGACCACAAGCACTAGGTAGAGATATCGATGTTCACATGCAACCATTAATTGATGAGCTGAAAGAGTTATGGAAAGATGGTGTGCTTACGTATGATGCCTCAACTGAATTAACTTTTCGAATGTATGCAGCTGTTATTTGGACAATTAATGACTTTCCTGCATATGGAAACTTGTCTGGATGGAGCACGAAAGGTTATTTGGCTTGTCCCACATGTAACAAGAATGCATCCTCACAACGATTGAGAGGTAAGATAGGGTACACAGGCGCTCGTCGTTACTTGCCTGATGACCACCCTTGGCGTAGAAGTCGACTTTATAATGGTAAGACTGAGTTTGTGTCAAGACCTTTGGAGTTATTAGGGGAACAAATCTTAGAACAATTGGACTCAGGGACATGCAGACCATTTGGAAAGCATCCAACCAATAAGAAAAGAAAAAGAGGAAATTCGGTATTAAATTGGACTAAAAGAAGCATCTTCTTTGAGTTACCATATTGGAAAACAATTAAACTCCGACACAATCTCGATGTTATACACATAGAGAAGAATATATGTCATAGTTTGCTTGGAACATTATTGAGTATAGATGGAAAGAACAAAGACATAGAAAAAGCACGCATGGATTTGGAAGATATGAAAATAAGAAAGGAGTTACACCTAAAGAGGCGAGCCGATGGATCATTTGAAAAGCCCCTAGCATTGTACATTTTATCCTCAGATGAAAGACATGGTTTCTGTGAGTTTTTGAAGTCAATTAAGTATCCTGATGGTTATGCGGCAAACATCTCAAAGTGTGTAAGCACAAAAGGTGATAAGTTAACAGGCCTTAAAAGTCATGATTGTCATATCCTTCTACAGCGACTGCTTCCCATTGGAATGCATGGATATCTTCAGAATGATATATGTGTCACATTATTTGAGTTGGGAAATTTCTTTCAACAACTTTGCTCGAAGACATTGAAGGTGAAGGATTTGGAAAAATTAGAGGATCGCATAGTACTCATATTATGCAAGCTGGAGAAAATTTTCCCATCGGCGTTCTTTGATGTGATGGTCCATTTAGCCATTCATTTGCCCTACGAAGCCATTCTTGGTGGGCCTGTGCAATATCAGTGGATGTACCCCATTGAAAGGTACTTACTAACTTCTTAATATATTAGAATAGTTAAATTATAGCACAAACTGTATATATATTTTAAAAAAAAATGTGAGTATGTGTAATAAAAGTATTCTATTGTTTGTTTCATAGGCTACTTGGAACTCTAAAAGGGTATGTTACAAATCGAGCTCGTCCAAAAGATTCGATCGCAGAAGCTTATATTGTCAAGGAGTGCCTCACATTTTGCTCAATGTATCTAGGTGGGGTCGAAACTGTATTTAATCGAGAGGAACAAAATGTCGATGTTGGTGTGCATGTGTCTGGGTTAGAGGTCTTCACGCAAGATGTTCATCCTTTTGGGCTAATGACAAGGGCCTCTGATGTGTCTCCAAAAGAACGTGAAATGGCTCATTGGTTTGTCTTGAATAATAGCCATGAGTTGGACCATTATCTAGCGTACGTTTTTATTAGGTTTTTTTTTTTTTGTTGGTGAAATTATGTTTTCAATATAATATGTTACTTATGAATCATATGTTTGTAAATAGGCAATACAAAAATCTTTTAGAAAATCAAGGTGCACGTGACATCGCAAAGAGACAGAAAGAGGAATTTCCCAAGTGGTTCAAAGAACATGTAAGATATAAGCCTAAACTTTATTGAGTTATACTCGCATTAATACTAACATAATGATTGAAATTGATATGTCATTATGTAGATGAACCATTTACGAGCTCAAGGATTACCAGAAGCAACTGATGAATTGTGGTCATTAGCAAATGGTCCTAGTAGCATAGTTAATTTGTATTCAGCTTGCATTTCCAATGGTGTTCGATTTCATAGTAAGGATCGTAACAATCATCGTAAATGCCAAAATAGTGGGTTGGTTATGGAAAGGGAGCATGAGGGACAAACAATTGACTTTTATGGGTACTTGAATAGAGTGTGGGAGATGCATTATATACTTGGACATCAAGTTGTTTTATTCCAATGCGAATGGTTCAACACCGGTAGCAACAGAACATTACACACTGATGCACATTTCACAAGTATTGATGTCAAAAGTCGATGGTATAAAGGTGATCCATTTGTCTTACCAAGTCATGTGAAGCAAGTTTTCTACGGTGATGATACAAAGTTAGGTGGACATTGGAAAGTCGTAGAAAGGCTACAACATCAAGGAATGTGGGATGTACCAAAGCAGGATGACGTTGAACCTGATAATGTATTCCAACAAAATGAAACAGCTAATGTTGTCCCAATTAGTGTTGCAGACCCTGTCACAATCTTACTTCATAGGAATGACATTGATCCTCAGATTATCCCAAGTGAGGTGGTTTTAGAATCAGTTAGTCTAGCACATGACGATGGTGTTGATGATGAAAAGACATACGATAACAAAGATGATTACTAAGAGCATTGTCACTATCCGAGAAGATGAGCTACATAGCCATTATGATTGTAATATAGATTTTGACATGGAACTTTAAATTTTTATGTTTTGTATGACACTGTTGTCTAGGTGCCGTTCTTGTCTGAGTTTGAGCACAATGATTATCCAAGAATATGTTTCAATGCATCTATGTTTGTGTGTCCCTCTCTCTTTCTCTTTCTCCATTTTTCTTTGTTTCTTATGCCATGTTATTGTTTAGTTATCACTTACGTGCTGATATTGATTCTATCATACATCCATTGATATTAATGTAAATGCTTATTTTACATATGCTTCACACATGTAATTGTTGAGTTGTTGTGGTAGATGGCAAGCCCTGGTAAAGTTAGAAGCGCAGCATCATCTAAAGTTGGTTTACCTACCCAGCAAGCTCCAGCTAGAGTTGCTGCCCCTATTGAACATGCACCATCTAACTTAACTCCATCTGCTCAAAGTGTACCATCTACAAATGCTCGACGTATCGAGGTAGCACCATCTACAAATGCAACTATTACACAGGCTGCACCATTTACAAATGAAGCTACTACCCAGGTTGCACCATCTACCACAATGACTTTGCATACCCGTTCTACACAGGTAAGGGGTCAAACTCGAGGGAAGAGCATAGCGCATCTCATAGCTAAAAATGGTGGCAAAAAACTTCCTGTTTGGGTCCCTGCAGATGCAAGGTACCAGTAGGGCCTTATGCCACTCCATTTGCAAATGAAGTTGGGTTATAAATAAGAATGGTTGCACCTATAATTGGCATAAGTAAGTGGGATAAGATTGACGAGATTTATAAAGCCCCAATCATTCAGGCAGTTCGGGTATTTCTATTTGTTGTTTTTGAAATAGTTAGATTATCACCATTACTTGCATTTTAATATTAATAAAACTATTCATATATTTGCAGGATAAATTTGAGATTGTTGATTATGATGAGGATAAAGAGGTTCGGAAAGCAATCGACAAGAAGTGTAAAACCCTTTACAAAATTTGGCGTAACAAGATGAAGACGCATTACTCGAAGTTGGTAGAAGCTAGTGTTGACCCTTACACTAAGCCATACAAAGGGGTTGACCATGAGGCTTGGGTATACATGATTAATCATGTATGGCTTAATATCAATCATCAGGTAAAATTTAATAACTTAAAGAATCGTGTTTCAATTTCAATTTAATTTTACTAATCAATTACTTTTGTAGGAATTGGCTGAAAAGGGGAAGAATAGTCGATCGAAGTTACCATATAATCATTCATTGGGCTCTAAGTCATTGGAAGCTGCAATGTATAAAGAGGTGATGCACAATGTACGTACCGTGCTTTAGTGTGATCGTGAATATATTCAATACCCTTCTCAGCATCTAGCGCGATCTGTGTTCTTGCAGTCCAGGAAAGTGGCTAATGGCCTATTTCAATAATTTGATGAGAATGAATTGACTATTTGTTTCTCGATTTCAGTTCAATTCTACAAAGGCGTTTAGCAATTGGACTAATTGATACAATGTGAAAATTTAAGCCAAGTATAGAGTAATGGATAGAGTATCATAATGAATTGGGTCAGATTTCGGCTTAAGCCAAGTAAACCAAATTTAGATTCGGATTATGCTAAAACTAGTCTGAATTCAATCTGTTGAGAGGCCTATGCTAAATAAATACCTTTGAGTAATGGATCATGATGGTGATCACTGACATATCCATTTTGAATGTACTCATAAACCAAGTAGAGGTGGTCATCTCCACTGGCATATCCCAACAACTCCACCTATAAATACATATAGGCTTGATTCGTAAAAAATGTTTGAACTTTGTTAAATCACATTCAATTTCATTTTGCAGATATGAAAATGTTACTTACCACATGTAGACACCCCATTTTTGACCGACCTTAAGACTCAGACGTCACCAATTGAGCGCTCGGTGATGTTGCATATTGTGCTCGTTCTGAGGTTGCGGAGTCTCGGCTGCGAGCCTTGCCTCCGGACTTCGGAGCTCTTCTGCGTTTTGCCTCGGTTTGCGAACCAGATCCTGGCTTCTCTATTTTCTCTTCCCGAAGGAAGGGAGAGGTCTCGTAGACCATCTCTCACTGGCCGTAGGCTACGTTTCGTGGTCGTAGGCCATTTTTCCTGTTTGGAGCCTAGTTTCCGGTTTTCAAAGCCGTCGGCCGTGTGCCTCGGTTCGGGACCGCTTAACTACCTCCGTTTGCTCTGGTTTTTGGCACACACCTTTCTTCCTCCCTTTTGAGGGACACTGTGGCCCGGGAGACTACCTTCGTGGTCATACGCCACTTCCGGTGCTTAACAGCCTGTTT